CCTTGGTGACCAGCGCTCGTGCCTCTGCCTGCCTGCCCCTCTGGTACGAAGCACTCTGTCCCTTGCTCTCGCCAGCCTGGTCCAGTAACCCCTTGGCTTCCCCTGTGTGAACTTCCCTGGCCAGTCTATACCAATCTCCAGCATTATTTGCTACGCTTCCTTTAGTTATTTTGTTGCCTATGGCTTTAAAGAGGCCCAGACAGGAGTGTGGCTTATCTGTGGGCTTGTGTGACCAGTGCCTCTGCAAACAGATACCTTATCAAACGTATGTGGCACAGGTCATGTAGGCCAAATTCATGGTCATTGCAGTGACCTTCCGCAACAGAGAGCTCAGAGTCAGCGCACTGCGGGCCAAGCAGCGGCTCCAGCGGCTCGGACAGTGGCTGTGTCTCCAGCATCCCACAAGAAAGCTTCTGTGAAGACATGGGCTCACCCCCCTACATGCCCCTAGGTTCACAACACGGCTCTGCGATGGAGGAGAAGCCCAGGTTCACAAACAGCCAGTACATTTCTGCAGTAAGTGCAAGCAGCCAAAATACTCTCGTCACTTTGCCTGTTCCTGCAGCTGCCTCTCGGGGGGGGACTGAAGACGCTGCTTTTGGGCTAGGAGTCACTGTGGGGAAGTGACCTTTCCTCTTGCAGAGACTCGCCGCCCCTGGGGCAGGCGAAAGCCCCTCTGTTGTGAGAGCCTCCCCTGCGGCGGCCAAGATCCCCGAGGAGATGCACCGGAAAGGACCTGCAGTGCTGGAGGCCACACCAGGAGGGGATGCTGCACACACAGGAGCTTTAATGCTGTCACGGGCTGGGGTACATACGTAACCTCCTGGGATGGATGGAGCTCTGCTGCAAAAGCTGCTAAGCTCCTTTCCTGGGAGGTTTGGGCCTTTTTTGGGGAGTGATGAGATGGAGGAGCGGGAGCCTGTCGCTCTGAGATGTCACTGTGTCTCCTCCTATGTTCCGGAGAGTTCTCAGCTGCTTCCCTTCCCACTAGATCGTGTCCTGATGCTGTTGTCCTCTAACCCTGTACTAATGCTGGCTTCTCTCCTCTGCAGAAAGCAGGCCAGGTCACCATAAGTCCCTCGACAATAGTGTGAGCCCCTCTGCACACGTATACCGCCTAAGGAAGTGGAGTTGTTGTAAGTAGCCCCTGAAGGGGATTTTCCAGCAGCTCTGAGTGCTGGTCAGGCTTGTCAGGAGAACCTCACCCCCCGCTTCTCGATGAGAAGTTTTCCGCACGCATTCCTGACCGCTCTCTGAGGCTCTGATTCACCTGGTTGGAGAAGACCAGCTCCCACAGAGATGGCTCCCATAGAGCCGTTGCCTTAAACAGCTGCTCTGATGCCTCCCGGGTTTGAAGGAGCAGAAGCAAAACAAGCGAAATCACTTTCAGGTAGTAGAGGCTTGAGCACCACCTAGTCATCAGTGTTCAGATGAGCTGCTTTCCTCTGAATGCTGCCCAGCTGTCTAACCACTAATCTGTTTCTTGTGCCTGTTTGCCGAAATCCCGCTCTTCGTTAGTCCCTCTGAACTGCCTTGGGGAATCCACGGTATTCTCCCCAAGCTGGATTGATCCCACAGTTTCCTTTGAACCTCCAAAGGAAACTGCGCATCACCAGGCAGAGGAACCTGCTAGGTTGTGGTCAGGTTGTCCTGAGGGAGCCGCCAGATGTTGCTCCTGTACTTACTGATTTCTGGAGGATACCTTGTCTGCGAGGAAATCGCTGTTGACCTGAGGAGGGATGAGCCCTGGCAAGACACGCAGCCACGCAGGGCTTCCTACGTGGGGGTGGCAGCTCTTGGAAGGTCGTGTCAGGCCCCGCTCAAACGAGCCCGCTTCTGGCTCAGCTTTTTCCTCTCTGTCCTTAGGACTGAGCCTCCCTTTTCACCGGGAGCAGAGGGGTATGAACACGAGAGAGGCAGGGTTAGGGCTTCAGTGGTCAGGGCACAGGGTGGTAGGTGGCTCGTAGGTTTGGCACCGTGGGGGTGTTACAAGCAGGCGGGCCCACGGTTTGTGATCTGCCAAGGTACAGGAGTTCATAACCAGCTAAACGGAACCAGCCAAGGTTAAAATCTAAGATCCAGAGCCCTTTCTTGCAGGGGGGAGGTCGCAGACAAGACCTTTGAAGTGGCCACAGAAGCAGCAGGGTTTGCCTTTGGGCGAGTCCTGAGGCGCAGAGGCAGCCCTCCGCGTGGGGGGAAGAGCCGCCCTTCTCCTGCGAGGCTCCCCCGGTAAAACGTTCTTTCCCCACCAAAATGCAGCTCTGACAAATGGTGGTTTTCAAGCGATTTGCAAAATCACTGCTGGCCGGGGCAGAGGGACCCGTGGGATCCTGCCGCGTCACCCCAGCGCGGCCAGTCTAACCCATTGCACGGTGCTGTGTTCCAGGTTTGATTGCCATTTCAAACTCACTGAAGACCCCAGGCCTCTGACCAGCAGAAGGAGACAGTCTTCACCTACGAAGATTTTTTGGGTTGTTTTGTTTTGTTTTTTTTTTTTTTTTTACGCATAATCAGGCTCTTTCAAACAGTCCAAAACCTGACCTCTGGCTGGGGGGAAGTGCCAAGGGGGTTTCTGTCGGCTACGCGTAACGGCTTTGGTGTTGGATGGGACCTTGGGCATTCAAAACTTGTTAGCCCTATATTTATGAGTAATAAGTAACATAGCAGTTTGAAAAACAAAATATTATTTTTAAAGCTATGAGCTGTACAGATTTTTGTTACAAGTGACTCTGTTACTGTTTGTTCTGTAAGCTGCACATTTTATAAAGTTTTTTGGAAGGGCACGAAGAGAAACTGAGGTATTTAAGAAAAGTAGTGTAACTTTCTGTTTCGGAGTTATATTGACCTGGAGCTCAAGATTTAACGTCCTTCCCTATGTTCTAAATATGTCTATCATAACAATAATTTATTTTCTCGGCTTAACACTTCTGTTTTAATAAAAGCAATTTCATTGTTACAGTGAATTGTTCCTTCAGATGATTCTTCCAGTGCCGCAGTGCTGAGCTTATCTCTGTCTTAACCGTCTGTCAGCTCTTCCGCTCTCCCTGTGCAATTTCTGCACTAACCAGCCGCCAGCTGAACCCTGTAAAACCTGAGCCGCTCCCCCAGGAGCGGGGGAGGATCCCAGCCGGCGGGAAGGCCGGGGCAGCAGGGCAGGGAGTTCAGAGCAGCCAGCAGAGACGTCACGAGGAGTGACGACGAGGGAGCCGTCTGGCGGCGGTCGGAAGGCCCGAATCGCCAAAGTTCCTGGCTCCGATTGAAGCCCTTTGCCCCGCGCGGCTGCTGTCCCGGCGGCAAGGCTCGCTCTCTCCGCTGGGTCAGGTTCCAGTCGCACGGGGTGCGAGTGGCGAGCTCCAGCGTGCCTTATCCCGGCGGCCAGGCTGTGCCCCGGGTTTTGGGATGACGGGGACTGGCCGCTTGCTTCGCCTCCGACTCAGCCCCTCTCCAGGTACTTCAGTCCCACCGTCGTGGCTTGATTGAGGAGCTTTGGATGGTGGTGGCATCTGAGACCGACAGGTTCCGAGTAGAATGGGTTGATTGTAATGCTGAACCTTAAACGCGTGTTGTCTGAAGTAGCGGAACGTAACTGGAGCACAAACGTGCCCCGTGTTCCGAGGTTGCCTATTTGTGCGTAACGCCAGAGCTCGCTGCGTGGCTGTGACGCCCTCTCCCTGGTCTTGGAGGAAATGAAAATCGGCGGGTTTTGAGACGGTAGTTACTTGCTGCCAAGCTCCTGGTTACTCCTGGTTTCTGAAGCGCTGTAAATCGGCTCCCCCAGATGGGAGAGCAGCGGTGTCGCATTTAGCCTGAGGAAGAAGATGGAGCAGTAATTTATTTAACTGCAGTTTTCTCCCCGTAGCTGCTGGGGCGGGGGAGCTGCCTGGCCCTTGACAGGGCAGCGCCGCGGTCCCCGATGTTAAACCTCGGCCGCCTGAGTTACCCTCTGCACACAGACGATGTTCCTTCAAGTTTGGAAATTCCTGTACTGTACACAGAACACTTGTTTATTTTTAATACGCTGGATTTTTTTTAAACCTTGTGTTCCTTTTGCTGTCTAAAAAAAGAACAGTTTGACAGCTTTGTACAAAATTGTGTGGGAAACAGTTGCACAGGGAAGAGTTTAGAAGTTACTACTTGCAAATAATTGCGAAGTTAATGCAAGATTTTGGGGCTGTCGAGACAGCAGTAGCTCATGTCGCAAGAGGGAGAGAATTTACTCATGCAACAAAAGGAACATGAAACTTCCTGAATTTCTCAGTTTCAAAGGTTTCTGCATTGCTGGAAAAACCTTTAGTAATGTTTACCTGACACTTTTTTCAGGATTTAATTGATTTGTCTAATAAAGGTTATTTTCTTTATACGAATCTTGTTTGCAGTGTGTCTCGATTTCGGCACAGGCAGAAGGGGAAACACGTCTGCGTCGAGAAGAGCGGTTTTTCCCTGGGGCCTCTAAACGCTGGCGGGAGATGGAAACGATGGCTTTCGGTCGGGTGGTTAGACAGGGCCAGAGTGAGGGTGACTCGCTCGAGTTCGGGTGATGAGAAGTGTCAGCTCTGCCCCCCC